TGTGAAAGCGTTTTGCGAATATAAAAGCCTCTACTCTCCCTTGTATCTTTGTTCAGCACTGAATTTTGCCTAAAGACGCTAGTTGAGGGCAGATGCCTGCCTCTTTACAGCAGTTCGTCCGTTGGCGAACAAATTGTGCCTGTACCTCAGAGCTACGCTTGAGGCAACAACAGCGAAGGGCGCAATGCGGTGCACTGGCGGCATGCTGCGGGTAGCGCTGGTTGCTGGAAGCTGGATACTACTTGACAAACTTGAAAAGTATGGAGGCTGGCAGAGTTCCAGCATACAGAGACCGCGCGCAGTAATAAAAAGGGCTGCATGAGAATGCCATGCCATGGGAATTGGTGCTCTCGTGTCTTGCGAGTGCCAGCTATTCTCAAGAAAGTTCAAGAGAAAAGCGAAACAGGAAATGTACTTTGAATAGAGCATTAACCTAAGCATTCTGACAATATTGCACTTCACGAGGGTCCTAGGTATGCTCTATGTAGTAAGAACACCGGTCAAAGATTCTCGTTGCATCCACCGTCCCCTGCAGAGAGAAATGGGACAGTAAATATATCCGTGTTTAAAAATTCGCTTCATGTATACGCAAACCATATTCTATAAAGTTTTGCGTCAGCGTGAGCACGCAGCCCCACGCATACAGCGCTATGTAAGGAGACCGCTTATACGCGTGTCTGTCAGAGGCTGGTGGATACTTCGATTACTCGTTGTCGTGCTGCAGCAGTTGCTGCACGAACTGCCAGGCCTCAGGAGAAGCTCTTCTCGTACCGTCGATCTCTACCTTAGACGAGGACAGCCGTTAAGCAGCTGACTGTTCTTCCAGCCTCTGCAATTCCTGCACACAGCGGCGAAAAGGCCTAGAACTGAAGCAGAGGGGGCGGCATCCCTTGAGTTGCAACAGACCTTGGTGCAACTCACGGTAGATGGCAACTCTGCGTGCAAGCATATCCGATTCCCCTCTCGGTGCACGTGACAGCATTGCCTTCTGTGGACAACTTGTACTGCAGTCAGAATGTTTGTACCAACTAACAGATAACAACGGGAGATGGGCGAGTTCTATTTGCCGATACCGCTTTTTTTGCTGCTGCTGTTGTCCACCACATTTCGCTGCAGCACTGGTAATCGACGGCGCTGTGCACACTGCTCCTGGGTTGTAAGCCGATGTTTAATACTGCCATTCCAGCCAAACAAAAGCATCTGTTAGGAAGCTGCCGAGACCCAACATTCATGCGCACGTGAAAAAGAGGGTCCACTTAGCCGCAAACCGGAAGCTCCCCGTAAACATATGGAAAGACCGACAGTGCTATTGACAGCGGCGCTGAGCTAGACAGAAATAGGGAGAAGAGTGTATATTACCGCGGAAAACAATTGGTGCTGGGAAACGCGTAGATGAAGAGATATAAATCCATCTAAAATCGTAGCAGAACGACTGTCAACGTAAGATTACTCTTGACCCATCTTTAAGCCTTGCCATGCCCACGCTTGTAGTCGCTGTGACTGAATCGTGTGGCTCATATGGATGCTCGTAAAAACTCGTCAGAAAGCCACTAGGGTTGTTGGTCTCTTGGCTATTCTCTCCGTGTCCTTGCGCATGTGTCCAGGATATCAGGCTCCTCACGCAACTTCTCGTGACGAAGTTGCTGCCCTTTTGTTGTAAGAATTCGACGAAGCTTCGGTGGTTCCCCGAGCCGTTTTGAAAGCCTGGTATTTATAATGTGGTGACATTTCCACTTTCGGTACGCGTCTACAATGCACGCCTACTCACTGAACAGACAAAAAACAGCAAAGATCCCAACTGTGCGAAACGCGCGGAAGTGTAACAAGTAAGGATGAGTTGGAGTCCTGGAAATCGCAGGTATTGTGAATACTCACTACAATCACGGCAACAATGCCGTGCTCGTTGTGAAATGAGTGAGGGTTGTATGAACGGTGGAAGTGCCTGAGTGCTTATTGATGTACATTGAGTATAACATTGGTTAATGCATTAAGCATTCTTTATGAAGTGACCAGTGGTATGAGTATAGGAGAGGCTGGCATGTGACTTGGTGCAAAATGTATTGCAACAAGCTACGCCGTCGCCTCTCCCAGCCGCAAAGGCCGCAGTGCCTGCTCTAGTGGGGATGCAGAACAGAACCATTTTGGAGAAGAAACTGAGAGAAGTAATTTCCTTTAACCTTTGTTAGTTTGTTATGCTGTTGTTTCAGTATGATAGTTATTGCCTGGCCGACCGCTATACTCAGCTGTGGGGTTCTGTGGACGTGCCCCACAGTAGTCATTCAGAGATACAACCTAGTAATAGGTAAAGCTTACTGCAAATATTTATACTAAAGAGAAATACTCTACGCTATCTTGAACAGTTCTCAGCATAGCATGTGAGGGACTGAGGGTTCTCACCACATCAGATCAGCTTACTAGGCCCGCAATGCCTCTAATATTATGGATTCGCATCACCCCATACTGAGAGGGAACTTCATATGGCCCTCGGAACGTGATCCCACTCACTTCAGTAGATGCAGCAGTCAATTCCAGCAGCTCTGCGTCTTTTGCCCGCAACGACAACACAAACGCAAATGAAAAACACAATTGTGAGGCTTAATAGGGATGCAATTCCCAAAATTCCCCCTAGACTGGCCCTTATGAAGGGAAGTTTCTCATACCAGGGGCATCAGGGACTGGACCCCACCCCTATCATCGGCTGCGCAGAACGGTTGCTGAACTATTTCCTCTCCGCGAGTGAAGCCCCAGAGGCAACTTAATCACCGAAAGGCTTATCCAGATGAGTTCAGGAAGGTTCCTGTGTCCCGCCGCGCTATGTTGTGACAAATGATAAAGCCGTGGAGCTGGAGAAGAGAAGAGTGCTCCTGATAAGACAGCTCTCTGTCTATCCCGCGGCTTTGCCATTGCCATATAAGTGTAGACGGTCAATTTACCAAAATATATAGCATAGACGGCCGATTTAAGGAGATACATCTCCCTTTTGCAGATTATCTTGGGAGGACGGGCACCTCTTGTCTCCTAGCCTCAT